AATTCTTCCCCTCATTAGCAGCACAGTAACTCATATGCACAAATCCATAGGCATTTGCTGTCATTTTTTTTTAAACAGGGCTGGAGATAGAAGGAAGCACAGGCAGCACGGGAGCGTCGCGGCGTGCACTGGCTGTAAATCTGCCTGCAAGCAGCACGGTCCTGCTCCCAGTTAAATCAGTGGGAAAGTTGCCACTGACTTCAATGGAGGCAGGATGGGAACTTTATTTTAGATCTCTTTTTGGCCTTGTTTGAAAGCAGGACTCGTGTTTCTCCGCAGGGAAGCTTTCAGGGCTGCGTTTTGCGGCACCTTGCACGTGCCGAGCAGACGGGGCCGGCGCTGCTCGCCCAGCCCGGCACCTCCGCTGCGCTGGGCGCCGTGTCCAAGCCCACGCAAAACTTCCCCCACCACAAAAAAAAGCCAGGAATGGGGCAATTAATACGTATTACTGCAATAGGAGGCTTCAAACCAAAAAGCCTCTGCAACAGCTTCTCAACAAGAACCACGGCGGCTCTTGTAAGGCAGGAGAAAACCTAAGAAACAGCGTCTGTAAAATATATTTAAAAGCCTTTATTCTTTCCCTATCACAGTGTGGCAAAAGAGACTAAATACAGCTTTCCATTTGTTTAACTAAAAGCTGCCATTCCTCAGTCTCTTTGATGCTAATGATACCCCCCGTCGCAAGCGCGCGCTGCACGGGGAGGCGTCGCGGCGGTGCCAGTGCCACAGAGCCCGCGGCGGCGGCGGGGAGCGCGGCGGGGCCCGGCGGGGCGCAGGAGGGCAGCCCTCGGCAGCCCCGCTCACACACGGCTACACGGGTGCCCCGGACACCCCGGGCGCCTGCGGCGCTGAGGGGACTGCTGCGTCGCTACCACTCTGAGGGGACTGCTGCCTCACTACCGCTCTGAGGCGACTGTCGCCTCGCTACTGTGCTGAGGGGACTGCTGCCTCTCCATAGCACTGAGGCGACTGCTGCCTCAATACTGTGCTGAGGGGACTGCTGTATCTCTGCTGCACTGAGGCGATTGCCGCCTCACTACTGCACTGAGGCGACTGTGTCCTCCTCACGGCACTGAAGGGACTGCTGCCTCTCTGCCACGCTGAGGCAACTCCTGCCTCTTCACGGCACTGAGGCGATTGCCGCCTCTTCATGGCGCTGAGGCGATTGCTCCTCTTCACAGTGCTGAGGCGACTGTTGCCTCTTCATGGCGCTGAGGGGACTGCTGCCTCTCCGCCACGCTGAGGCAACTCCTGCCTCTTCACGGCGCTGGGGCGACTGCCGCCTCGCTACTGCGCTGAGGCGACTGCTGCCTCTTCACGGCACTGAGGGGACTGCTGCCTCTCTGCCGCCCTGAGGCGACTGCGGCCTCTCTGCCGCGCTGAGGCGACTGCTGCCTCTCCACGGCGCTGAGGGGACTGCCGCCTCGCCGCCACGCTGAGGGGACTGCCGTCTCGCTGCCGCTCTGAGGCGACTGCTGCCTCTCCGCGGCCATCGTGCGCCTCACGAGCCAACTACAGCATTTCATGGGAAGCGCCGTGAGCCTCTCGGCTGAGGGTGTCCAAGCGGGAGGTGGCGAGGCAGGAGAGCAGTCCAGACCTCTCGCCACGGTGTCTGTGCCCCCAAAAGGCCGGTCCCTGCTCTCCTGGTGCTGGTGACACTTGTAGGTTGTTTTCACCAAGTCTCAGTGTCCCCCTGGTTCCCTGTGGTCTCGTGTGGCACCTCTGCACACAGAAGTGGGTTAGGAACCTGCTCTGTGCTGCTCCTCAGGGGCCTGGAGGAGCTTAAGACAGGACCCAGAAGGGCTCTGAGGGACGCTGGAGGCCTCCCATTTTCCTGACCCCCCCGCAATGGCCAGATCCAGGGAGAGGCAGCCTCGCCTAGGAGGAGGAGGCTGCAGCGGAAAAAGAAGGCAGCTCCATGACCTGCGTTAAGAAGGGGCAACAAGAGAGGAGCCAGGGAAACCCGGGAGCAAGCAGGGAGCCAGGCTGGATCAGAAGAGGCCAGGCCTTAGGAGGGCCACACGTGGCCCCGGAGCTGTGGGTAGGGAAGCTTCAACCCTCCACAGGATCCTCGAAACTTGAGACAGGACCCCCATCCTAAAAACCTGGGAAAGAAGCATCAAAAAGAGTCTCTGCTCCCTTCATTCCCTTCCCTGAGAGCAGCCTGCTCTGGAAGGAGACTCCCAGCTCCAACATGGAACATGTTGGGGGGTTGGGGAGAGCTTGGAAAAGCAGATGAGGGGAACTGCAGGATACGCAGGTAACTCTGCATCCCAGCACCGTTTTCTCCCCTGAGGGTTTTGCCTCCTGGTCAGCAGCAGGTCAGCGCTGGGACCAGCTCGAGTTCCCTTTGGGCTCCTGCGCTGACCCCAGCTGCCTGAGCCCAGGCTGAACGGCCCCATGCAGAGGGCCCTGTATCCTCCTCCCTCCCCACGCACAGCCCCCATGGGGACTGACTCACGCTGCGGCTTTATCTCTCACTCCCATATCTCTGTTATGGTTTGCAAGGGCTATTTATACACACATAAAAAAATCACACTCTGCTAGCTTGATAACAGCCTAACTATAAGCGAGTAGTAAATAATAGTTGCATAATTTCCACACCAGAATAAAGAAGGCACTAGGTTACCACCGAGTTTTCATTGACTTGAACAGGAGTTTGAGCCCCTCTGAGCCACAGGAGATGCCAAAGAGGGTCTAAAACACCGTGAAGAAGCAGGGATGCTGCAGCACTCCAGGCACAGGCTGGAACGTCAGCCCTGTCCGTGAGGCAACACTGCTGCTGTCGACGAACGCGGCCAGCGGCAGAGGAGCTGGGCGCGCTCCGAGGTGGGAATGCACATGGACGGGCTGGTCGTGGTTGTGTTGACCCATACAGTGGAATGGAAAATAAGGGGTCTCGTCACCCTCTCAGAGCCCCCCCACCGCGGGGGCTGCTGCCACGTGCCAGTGTCTCCTCAGTGTTTATGAAGCAGAGCCCAGCAGAGGGGACGAGCTCGGGCGCCTTTGTCTACCGCACGCTTGACAGTCGCCCCGCGCAGATCCACGAGCCCCACGGGGCGTCTTCGCGGCGGCCGCTGCAGGGCGCGCGGGCAGCGCGCGGCCGGGGGCGCAGGTGGCAGCGGCGGCCGCGCAGGTGCGGAGCGGCGCGGAGCGGCGCGCAGGGACAAACCTTGTCCTGACGCTCCCCCATCCGACAATTCCTGGGTGTCTGCCCTTGGCGGCGGCGAGCCCTGCGGCGGGCGCGGGGGGGGGAAGCCGCTTCCTCCACCCCCTCGCCGTCCTCCTCCTCCTCCCCGCGGGCGCGCGGGGCGGCGCGGGGCGGCGCGGGGCGGCGCTCGCCGCTC